GCTTCTTTTGTTTTCTTTTCATTCTTTTATTTTTCATTACTGCTGTTTGCATACTTCTATCACAACGGGTTTTCAAGTGAGAGTAAATATTTCATATTCATCTTTCTTTTATTATTATTTGTACCAAATAATGTCTCAACAAATATATAAAATCTCTCATAGAGACCTATCGAACGTTTGGTTGAACGTAGAAAGGTTGAAAGAGAAGTGCCGGAAAACAAATGTTGAAGTGGAAAATGATCTAAAAGTACTTTAGAAAATTCGGAGTACAAAGATACATTCTTTATTACATGGGATAAGAGTATCATTTTAACAGAGATCGAGGAAAAAAAAGATAAAAGCTCTCGATAAAATTCATGGCCTTCAATTTTTTTTTCTACTTGCAGGATAATCATTATCATCAATCACTACAATCAGTTGATTATTGATATTTGTGTGAACACTTGTTGAACATCTATCAAGTGTTTATTTCCAAAAATTTTGCATTTGTCACTGTCTTGTGCAATTTAAAACAGATAAAAGCAAAAATCTTCCTTGTAATGAATTAATAAATGAAATTAGTCGCGATGATGCTTCGTCTACATTCGGTGAAGATAAAGCAAAAAAAGAACTATTCATCAGTGTGACTATTGATTAAAGATACAAATCGATAAAATAATAATAAAGTATAGACGTCTAAGGTCAGCGTTTACTAATATAGATAAATTTCTTTTTTCGACACTTTCTCATTTCGATCTTTGTACATCATATTATACGCTTGTGAAGTGATAATAAAAATATGATAATTTAACAAATTACCAATGCTCTTTTAGTACTTTCTCATTATCAGAAAACGTTCTAAACACAGTTCTGTTTGAATAAAGAAACTAAATATGTGTAAAATCATTAAAAAAATGCTTAAAATAGTGCTACAATTGATAATGCTAACTGAATTGTCAGTTTTACTTAACCACAAATAGTATCTATGTCTAGAATTTGTCAACAGATTAGAACTTTTGTATCTCATAATGATATAACTATATTTTTCTTATCAAAAATATAATGTTATCTACGCCTGTGTTAGTGAGTATTTTGATAATGCAAATTCAATCTTAGTTTTAGTAGTTGATAATCTAATCATGATTTAGTTCTTGTCTGATCAGCAGATATTTTTATAATGAAACAAGTACAATTTCAAACTTATCTAAGTTTCCATAGATTAAATAAAGATTTGACACTGATTACACAAATATCCAATTATAATGATTTTGTTTTACTAAATATTTTCACACAATGAAATAATTATAATAAAATATCCTTTCTAATAATTAAAGTTTGAAATTGAAAAAAAAATACATAAATATTAGAATATACTCAACAATAGTATCATATCCTCAATATTCAACTTTGATGCATCAACTTATTGCTGATCATATTCTTCAATGGCGCTGATATTGTTCTTCTTCTTTGCGTACTTTTTTTCCATGTCTAAACGATCTATATTTAATGGTAGTTATATTTTTTTTTATAAAAGTCAATCAATAGAAATTATTAATCTCACTGTTCTGAACTTCGATGATTAAGATAACATACATTTAAAATTATTTTATAGTAGTCTCACAACAAAAATACAGAATATAGTTTCAGTGTATAATACAAAAGGAATTTACACAACAAATAAATCCAAAACTACTGATCATTCCATATTTTTAATAATAAAATTAAATAAACAGTAATTTATTATACCCTTATGAAAGAAAGCAACAAGTAAACTATTATTATTGTCTTGGATTCTGCTAGAACTATTTTCGATATTATGAACTAAAAGAATGATTGAACAAATGAAGAATTATATGATACAGTATAAGAAGATAATTATCAATAAAAGAAGAAAAATTATTTACGCATCTAATCCTTAAGAACCTTCTTACATAATGAAGTTCCAGATAAAAAACGACTGTCATCACGGAAATGACTCTGAATATGCGCTACATTAACTAAAGATCAGTTCAAATTTTTAATTAATTGTTCGTGCAGTGTCTGTAATTTTTTGTCATGAATTTTATGCTATCCTTCAAACTCAACTGTGAACACGATAAATTTCTGCCATGCGTCAAAACTGTTTTACTTGTTATTCAAAACTTTTCACAACAATCAGAAAAGACTATATTGAGTAATATTCAGGTATTTTTAATAGAAATTTTGAAATAATGAAGTGTTTATTCTGTCAATCATTGAGATGTAACACATCATTTTGATTGGCATTTTTTCTAAACAATATTTGACACTAACTTACCAGCAATATCATCAAGACTGTCGATATTAATATAAAGTTCAGATTATATAGAAATAGATAATTGTATTTTATGACATCAAGGAAATTATTATATGGACATTTAATATCTTTTTCTTCGTCACTTAATTATATTTGTCTTTTCTTTATAGAAAAATGTGCTAATGTATATGGCCTTTTAGTATCGTTTTCCTTGTACTAAATCATTATATATTCTCTTCATGTAACTTTACGAATTTCATTAGCTGTTTTCTTTTCTTTTTAGTATCCACATGAGAAAAAAGAAAACGATTTGAATATTAGAATGTTACCAGAAAATATAATATTAATGACTTGTGAGAAAAAAAGATATCATAAAACTTGATGAAATCTTGTAAGCAACTAAACTTACAATAGAAAACATTTTCAGAGTAAAAGTTCTTGTTGTACATTGAACAAACATAATATTAATGAATTCGATTAAATTCAATTTTGATCGATAACTTTTAGTAGTGCTTCAAAAGATAAGATAAACAAAATCAATTTACAAATATTTTTTGAAGCTTTTAGATAAAAAAAATGGTTAATATACATCAACTAAAAACTATAGATATATATAAAATATCACAGCAGGACAAAGTACTTGAAGTACTGATACTTATACTTGTACTCAAAAGTTGTGTGCTCGGAATCCTAGATAAGTATGCATTATATTCAAATGATATTTGATTATATTGTACTTTACGTTTTCCGAGGATGAAAATAAACAGTTGGTTTCTTTGTTTTGTTCTATGCATATACGTATTCCGAAATAAATATACAGGCACCACATTATGGTATACAGACAGGCGTACTCGTTTTGTGTCATTTTTGTTTCATTAGTAATATGGTATATTATCGTTAATTGATTCGTGTCTGTATATTATATAGTTCTGTCAGTTTCTATTGAAACAATATTTTCTCAGAGCGATTTTGTAATACGTTCGCATTGCGCATCATTAACTTTAAAAAATATATGCTGGCTTACTTTTCTTAAATCCAATAAGGTTTTAATGTATAGTTTGTTTGCTTGAAGCTTGATAATAAAAATAATAAAAATAAGAGCATTTTGATTCATGACTCTTACAATATCTCGATCTCAACATTGATGAATCATTTTCCAAACTACTAATTAATTTTTTTTTTGAATGAGGTCTTAAGAAACTTTACTTTCACGCATTCTTACTGAAAAAAGTTCTTACGTGTCCAGCACTGTATAATATCATTTTAATTAAACAATCCTTTGTTGATTCTTACAAATCAGTGTATTTTCAATCGTATGGATACACATTTTGATTCTTATAAAATGTTAAAAAATGACTTAATCTGGTTCGTTTTGCTGGCTCTATGATTTTTAAAGATGCGTTATTTAAATTCTACTTTTTACTTATATAACATGAAATTATAACATTTGATTTACTGAAGATTGAATGATGAGATAAAAGTCGATTTGATGAATCAAGTTTAAAGTTAACGTTGTTGATTTGTACTCAGAGAACATTTTGAATAGCATTAATCAATATAGAGGTAAACATTATTTGCAATACCGAATAATATTTCACTATCTGAATTCTTCTCACAATGATAAAAACTAAGAAATTCCTTTTTATTATAAGATTCCTGTAGAAAATTTTCTTCAATAAATTTTGAAATGATTTAAGTACAACTTTCTTTTTTGGCGTGCTCATACTTATTATTATATATGTTATTTATATTGATATGATTATCAATAGAAGATATTGAACAATTTTTTATCGTTTCAAAATGTTAATGATTAGTTAGATGTTTGTTGTAGATTTTCATTATAGCATGACTGATTAGTTATCCACTTACATCAATAAAGCTTTTCTTTCGTTTATTGATTTTATATATTGGTCAGTTGAAGAAAAATCAATCTCTTGGTAATGAGTGGTCATGATGTAGATCGTATACAGGACCATACTATCAAACTTCAATTGCTGGTTAGTATGGATTGTAATGTTCAAAGTAAAACTATATTCTGAAATCGCACGCACTTGCCGATGAAACATCTTTTTGAACATGGTAGAACATCCAAACACGACAATCATGCTATGAATGAATATACGAAACAGACGCTATCATATGATTTCCTTGTCAATGCTTTAAATATGAATTATTATTGACAAGTGTTACTACATGAAACAAGATATCGTAGGAATCAACTTTATATTATTATCTGTATTGTTATTAGACTAACAACGATCAATGGACTAAGAAAGACTACGTCTCTATTCAAAAACGCGTCCTATTTTTAGTAAACCTGTTTATATTTATATGACTGTAAAAGATGCATTGCCTTAATTTTATTTCAATCACAATATAGATAGTTTAAAACATATTATTGTGATAAAAGAAGAATTTTGAATCAAATGTACTTAGAGTTTAAGACTAAACATTTGTTGCCAAATTTTTTTTAATTAATACATATAGAAGAAAAAGAATTATTTGTTTTTCTTTAAAGATCACATTTATTTAATATTGTAGACAAAAGAGATGAGTTGAATTCAATGAATCATCCAGATGTCAGACAAGGTCAGTCTATGGATAATTAAGTCTTTTGTTAAGTTAAATAACAAATAAATATATGAATATTCTTATGTATGGTATCATATGGAATAGTTTACATAAGATATATATGTGTACACTTTATTTTCTAAAACATTCTAGATTAAATTATTACGTGTAGATAATGTCGTTTGAAATGAACAATTCATGGCTTAATTTAACAAATCATTCAGTTACCAATGATAATGATGAACGTTTCAATTTTAAATCAACTTCAGAAGGTTATTTTAAAATAAACAAAAAAAAAACAAATCCTATCATTTTACTTCTTATTTTAGATTTCTTTACTCGTGAAGGTGAACGATTTATTCGTGAAGATCCTATGTTACCATTTTCGATTTCTATTCTTACTGATATAACACAAAATCAAGATCAATCATGGTCAAATGAATTAAATTCTGATAGTCCTGGTTCGACAACAACTTTTTTTATGGCTAAATCATCAAAACCTGATGAAATGCTCGATGCACTTCTTGCTGGTGAATTAATTACATTGAAAATTTTTCTTTTTTATTTAAATGTTTTCTTAAAGGAAAAACTGATGGCATTGCTACAAAAGAAAATCAACAACCAAGATCGTTACGAAATATGGTTAATGAATGGACTGAATCATCATTACTTAATAAAAAATCAACTAGTGGTCTCAATTTACGTCAACAAAAAGATTCACCTTTTAATGAAGTAAGTTTTATGACTATTATTTTCTAATACTCTTACATATAATAGCCGATATAAATTTAGAAAAGTTTTATTTTTGAATTTTCTTCTCGATGGTTATAGTTAGAAAGAATCTGGAAAATATTTGAGTAGCTAATAGAATTTTCTATGGTGGTTTGTGGTCTTAAAAACTTCAATAAAACTACTTGAATGAAGATGTGTGGAAAACCAAGACTTTCCTAAAAACGATTGTCTGACACATATTTGAAGCTTTATGGAAATTATTTTATTTGGTAGAGCAAAGTGAGATGTTTTCCTTCTGTTCATTCTCTTCCTTCATCTAATATAACGTCACCTATGTGTCAAAAGCGGAGAAATTATTGAAGTTTGGCATAAAAACAAAAGAAAAATGCTTCATGGGTCGTCTACAAATTGAATGCAGTTCGATGAAAGAACGTTATGAAGAGAGCCAAGACATCTTATTTTGCTCTATCAAATAAGATCATTTCCAAACAGTTTCAAAAGGAATATCAAAATCTTCATTCCAGCAGTTTTTTGAAACTTTTCAGATTCTACAAACTATGATAGAGAATTATTTTAGTTACTCAAATGTTTTTCAGAGTCGACCTCGTTATTACCATCGAGAAAAAAACTCAAATATATGACTGTTTGAAACTTTTGTTTATCCTTAAATATGTATATATATCTCCAATAGAATTGCAATACCATCGTAAAAAAATCTAAAACCGTATTGACAGCATCGCAACCTATGAATGGCGAGGTATATTAATAGAACAAAAATTGATAGATTTATCAATCTAACTATATTATTTAATTATAGGTGAGTCGTTCATTATTTGAAGTAAAACCAAAATCTACATCGACTAGTGTTAATTGTGATATGCTTGATTTAACAACAAATAGTAATAATAATCGTCGACATAGCTTAGATTTATCTGATAGTATGTCAATACTTTCACTTCATTGTCGTCGTAATCATCTTCTTAATGGAAATATTTATTCGAATTTGTGCTCGAATGGAGATGTATCAACAGTTAATACTGAAACTCAAACATCTCATTTGGCAGGATCATCATCGTCATCTTCCTCAACTAATTCATCACGCACTCAAATACATCAACAACAACAAACGCAACAACAACAGCATGTGTTTCCATCAACTCCATTTCCATCATGGCCTTCAAATCATCCACAACCTTTATTTTATCCAGTAGTTTCTTATCATCCTATTTATTCTTATGCACCATCAACATCAACAACAATACAACATCAACCAGCACCACTTTGTATTCATCCACCACCAACAACAATTAGTAGTTCATCAGATATGTATAGTCATCATCATGATACAAATACCCCAATTATTACTTCACTTCATAGTCAACCAAGCGATGAAAAGTATTCATTTTGAATATAAGTCTTTTCTTTTTTGTATTTTAAATTAAATTATTTTCATAAGATCATCAACATCATCTTTTCAACGTACTAGTCGTTCATCATCATCATCTTTACTTTCAGCTAATTCACAACGTTTGAGTAAGTTTTTTTTTTTTTCTTTTACAAATAATACCTTGTAATTATATTTCATTAGGTCATCATCAATTAACTGAACAACATGATCATTGGTGGCTTGATATTCCATCATCAAATATCATTCGTATGCCATCATGTTATGTTAATAAAACAAGTTCAATTGATGTACCAATTAAAAATAATGGTTCAGTTGATATAATAGTAATTTTTTTATATTAAAATAATATCGAATGATTCCTTCTCATGTTATTTTAATTTTATATAGTTATCTATTAGTATTCATAAATGGGATATTATCTCAGATACGAGTTCAATGTCAAATGAAAATCATCAAATAATTCCATTTCAATTAGATAAAATTGAATATATGATCAAATCTCAACAAGATATAATGATCAAAGTACATTTTTGTCCATTTCAAACAGGCAATTATCAATGTAAACTGAATATAAAATGTCAATTTTGTCTTCCACATCAATCACCATTATCAACATCACTAGTTACATTAGTTGGTGTTTGCTATGACCCACGAAATGAGGTACATTGTCTTTCAACATTTTTTTTTTTTCGTTGGTGATGATATTTAAGAGTAATTACTCTTTCTTCAATTAAATTAATATTTGTCATTAGGATATTCTCACATTATGCAGTTAATGATGACAAAATAGACCATGGAAAATGTTTTTTAGTTTACTTCCTCTTACAGACAGATGAAACAAATAATTTGATGTATTTTTTTGTTGTTTTGAAATATTTAGTATCCCATATTACTTTCGTCAACAAAAGAACAACAACGAAATTCAGATGAACAATTTACTAATCGTACGTCATCCCAAAGTCAAGTATCAGATATGTCATTAGCATCAACCACAGCTCAAAGTGATGGCGATCTTACATCAACTAGTCAGCATCGACAAAAAGATGCTATACTGTAAAATAAATAATTGTTTCAAAAGGAAATAAATTCAGTTTTGCCCTTTTTTTTAAAGTGATATTGCTAATCAAATTGGTATTGAACAGAATATACTAGATTTTGGACAAGTGTGTATTAATGATGATTTAACAACAAATTCAAAAACTCTTAAATTAACAATAAAAAATTATAGTCGAACAGATCCATGTGATGTGAGTGTAATAATATCTATTTAAATATCATTTTTATTCTGTTGATAGGTTGACATAAGTGAACCACATTTACCATTTTGTATTAGTGTACGTCGTGCTACAATCAGGTAATGTCTTACTCTCTATAACGCATGTCTGTATTTTTTTTATGAAATTTTAAAAACATTCGTGTTTTTTTTTAGAGAGAAATCATTCGTTAAATTAACATGCAAATTTCGTCCTAAAAAAATTGGTCTCTATAGTGAAAATGTTATTTTAACAATAAAACGACGAAATAATTTTAAAATAACAATTACATTAACTGGTCGATGTATTATGGGCAATATGAATACCATCCTACAAGATTCAATGGAAAATGAAGTAAGACAAGAAAAAAGCAGAATTATTTTTCAAATTTTTGACTCCATGCTTTTATTTCATTTAGGAATAGTAATTTTTTTTTCTACTGCTATTATCATATTAATAATTCATTCAATTTTTTTTTCTCTGTCTTCTTGGAAAGAAAAACAATAACATGTTTTTATAGAAAAAAATTAATAAAAAGAAAAATATTATTTATTCTCAAAAGAAAAGATAACATTATAGTTCATGTTCATGACATTCGCTAATAAGATTACACATGAAGATGTCTTATAAACTTCTTTTTTCTTTCTCTTGCTTCAAAATAAATATTAAAAAAAAAAAAACAAAGGTTATTTTTATTGTTGACTATATGAGAGCATCTGCAAAACAAACTTTTTGTTACGATTTCTATCAAATGTCGACTATGTCTACATAATATATACGTACGAACATGTGCACATTTGTACTATAGACAACATACAATTTGATCGATCGTATGCCATTGGACTGACTTTAAGACTAGATTACAGTGCAAATATACAACAAAAAAACGACAACGAGGGTTTATGTCATCGTTGTATATTATATACTACATACGACATCATCGATTGTGAGAAAAAAGAAAAGAAAATAATCATTTTTTGCAGTACTATGTTATTCAGAATAATATAAGATAGATGATCATCATCAATAAGATATAAATCTGTTGCTGTTGTTGTTGTCGTTATTTCGTCTGAACTCAGTGCAAAAAGCCTACAAGCAAGTACAATCGTCTGGATTGTAAAATAATAAAAATATATTTGAGTGTTGGTTCATTTGTATCAAGATTTATTGTGTACCTTATAAATTGTTTTTTTTGAATACTAAAATTCCTTGGCATTTACAGATCAATGCCGAAAAAAAATGCATTGCGGATGAAATACCAACTAGACGTCAATACTTCTAATCGACGTGTTGAGAATCATTATATGGAAGAAAAAAAAACAAACTATACACATAAATACCTCGATATACGTAGCAAAAGTTTCTACTTATTTAATAGTCAAAATGAATGCATACTGATACTTCCCTTGATTACCAACGTCAAAGTACAGTAATATGTTTTCTTATCTATATTGAGTCTCCCACTCTTTTTTGTAACACATAAAGGAAAAAAAAATTCTCCCACTTGAAGCATGCGATGTCGAGTGACATGTTCTATCTGATGAATACCAAATGACCGACAGTTGACCCATATATAGAATGTGTCGTTTTTGCTTCTAAGAAAATCTTTCATTCTGTCTAGTTCTTTTCTATATTAATCCAAACGATCGAGGACACCAACGATGATGCAGCTAAGTAATAAACGATGATGTGGCACTAATGAATATGCTACTGTAGTACGAATGAGATAAATGTCTATTCCGTTTTCTTCCCTCCTTCGTAACATATCTTCTACTGCATTCCATTCATTTGATAGCACTATAGAAAACATTTATTGCAGCTAAGCAGTATGTGTTTTTTAAGCAATTGCTCTTTACACTCCGCTTGAAGTACGCGTGCATACCTCTCAAGTATTCGTTCGTTTGCTTGCTTGCACGTTTATTATTGTATGGCTGTGCGCATTTATCTCGACCACGATACGATTTCAAAAGCAACAGCCGATGATGATGGCGAAGTAGGAAAGAAGAGCAACGTGCTTTTTTGCAAGCCCGATTTGCGCCCATCGTTCGATGCGTCATTTTTGATTAACTTATTTCTCCTTCACTTCTTTTTTTTTTACTAAACACGACATATTCATCATTTTATGCCTCATCATTATGCGCAGGTATGCTACTAAACATCGTCTATATGTAATGTATCTTACAACATAAGTGAGCAATAAAAAAAAAATCTTTGTTTCAATAAAAAAAAAAATTGAGATTAGATCTTTTTATGAAATGTGACCATTTCATACATATATTCCACATGGTTTCATGATAGTTTTATGAATATATGCATGTAGAGGAGGTAGATAAGAGTACTGACAAGTTGAAGAGGAGGGCAGGAAGAACTAACTATAGAAACACATGTGTACTGGTCACGTCCTTACTAATTCTAATGATAAGCAATTTTATTTTTGTCTTAAAGGATAATCGATGAGACAATCAAACATATGCGAAGAAAAAAACCTACATCATGTTCTATATTCTTTTTCGTTGTTGTATAACGAATAAGAAAGACACAATTATTGAGTATATCTAATAATACTTTAAAACTCTTCAACAATGTTAAGAAAAACTTTATCTAAGAATTTTATTGAATGTTATAAATTTCTTTTTTCATTATTGTCCAAAAGAAACAGTTGACCCATAAGATAATAGTTGATTTTCTAGCCTGTTGACATAAACAATTTGATATTTGAGAAGATAGACAAGGGGAAGAAAAAAAAGAATTTCTGTTCTATTATAGATACAAATGTATAAACAGCATGTATAGTTCCGTGAAGGTCATTATGGTCACAATATAGAAAGAAAAGAAGGCATTCATTATGTAACACAATGTGTCCTATATATTTTCTTCGATTTTTTTTACCGGTACAGACAATGTCATCGAGTCACTAATATATTGCCAATGGCTATTGATTTATGCGTAGCGTATGTTAAATTGAATTTTAGTTGCTATCGATTGATGAGAGAAGGCAAAAATGTAGGCATGTAAAAGAAGAATATATAAGAACCATCCATTCAATTCTAGAGAACTCGTATTGACTTAGTGAAGAAAAAAAGAAGAAGAGCGTAGGCTTATATGGTAGCAACTTGCTGTCAAAGAAAATAATAAAAAATGAGAGATTATACGCGCGTGTGGGTGTGTATGCAAGAACATTGACGTCAGCTGTTATTTTCGATTCATTCTAATTCCAATTATGATGCTAAATCGGTGGAAAACAAGACTATAGAATAATATATGACGGAGAACGTACAAATAATGCGTTTTTTTTGACACTAATTATAGATAAAAATATGTCTCAAGAGATATTAGAAAAGCAACGTTATATAGTGAACACATGAACGCACTATAGCGGCCTCTCTCTAAAACATTCGATCCAATTGGGTAGTTCTATGTAATTTCTTCAGTCTATTCAAACTATTGTGTTTGTTGATGTTGATTAGTAAAATGCATTCTATCGTTGTTTACCATTTTTTTGTACTCTATTCATTCAAATAAAGAGAAAATGTCATACAACAAGTAAAAAAAAAATGTGCTTTTCACTTTTCACTTGCATTAAATGCATGTATGTTGTCTAGTAAACTGTAAGAGTAGAGGCTAGGATCAAGTACATGAATCTAAGGTAGATCTTTTCTTTTTCTTGGCACGTCAATACTTTTTTTTTCTTTTTCTTCTTGAGACCATTTCTTACAATGGGCTTATAATTATTCGAATCGAGTAAAAGTATTGTAAAAAAAAGTAAATCAATTTGAGAAAAAAAAAATCACAAGTAAGTAAAAGAAATTTTTGTTATTTATTTGGAATGGCGAACTTCATTTTTTTTCCTTTTAAAAAATGTAAAGTAAATTATTTACATAAGTCTAGCCAATCTTACTTGAAAAACAAAAAGACAAAAGCGAGAGAGAAAAGAAGCAAGTCTGTTCTTTTTTCCTGTCAGAAAGAGAAAAAAAAATCTGTGCCTTATTTTTTTTCCCGTCGTCGTTTTTCCTTCAATCGTTAACGGCTTACTACAGGCACGTTTCATATTTAGTCTGTCTGTGTTATTTTTCTTTTGTACTTATTCTTATTCCTTTTTTTTTCTTCTAGATTCCATTTCGAATATATCATCAACATACAAGCAACAATATATTTTTCTCTTGTTCAACATATTTAAAAAGTGTTTTGTGTCAATAATTTCTTTTTTTCTTAAAGAAAATATCGACACACTCACTGATTTGATTCAATCTATGTAATGGAATATATATTATCGACAATTTCT